TAAAACTCTTATCTTATAATTCAAGAGCAAAGAGAAGGAGCCTTGTCCTTATACTAAGTGTTTTTCATTTGATTTTGATGAGGATGTGCATGACGATGATGACGATGATGTGGTAACATATTTTTTTATTCCACATAAAATATAAAATGTATATATTTTTTGGGTTTCTTCATTTGATGGTGAAGAGGCTGCAAGCTAGGAGGATTTTTTTTTTTTTTTTTGAAAATCATGACAGAAACATGAATAAAATAATAACATAAAATGAACTTGCGTAGTGTGAGTTTTAAAATTTTCCAGATATTTTTCCGCCATCAAAGTCTCTATGTGTATGTATAAAATATAATACAAATTTTGTGATGTATTTAATTTACATATATTCAAATAAGTTCAGGGTTATGCTATCGAATACAAATGAAAATGGAATATAGAGACACGTGTGTGTAATATGCCCAAATATATATTAAATGTGTTCGTATCTATTTCGCATTGTAGTCCCAATCTATGTGAAAACAATAGTCAAATATTATCTGCATGAGGTTTTTTTATTATTATTGAATATGTATGTAAATAAAATTCAATTTGTAAGTAAATAGCTTTGTTAGAAATATGACGTCGCCGTCTTTATATGAAAACAATAGACGGAATTGGAATTTATGTTGGCAAAATGGTTTCTTATAAATTTAAGTAAAAAATAAATGCATTGATTTAACATTAAAAATTACAAAATGTATTTCAGCTGAGGAAAAAATTATAGAAATTCTAAAAAATATTTAAGAATTTTATGGAAAGTATATAAATTTATGTAAATTAAGAAATACAGTAGCGAGCTTTTATTTTAATAATTTTAAAATTATTTTTTCTTTTGTAAACCGAATTTGGAACGAACTGTGGTTAGTTTGAAATCTTATAATTTAAATAATAAAAATCAAAAGAAATGGGATATATCAGTTATATGATACGTCTGTCGAAACATAGATCAAAATTCAACATTTTCAGCTGGGAGGTATTTTACCCTCCATTTATCTGCCACTTCTTATGAAATATGGAATTAAGTCGTAAACATTTTGGTGGATTAGGGCCGACCATATTACACCCTACACAACTACCACTGAGCGCTGAGTTTCTACTAATTTATATTCCGAGCCTTGGTAATTGTTCGCTATATTTGCACTCTCTTCACCGATTAGATATTAACAGCTCCTCGAGGCATTATTTGACCCGCTAAATATTGTCATTCATTATGACGACAGCCACTCGAATTAGTAGGTTAGTAGATCGCCTTCCTCATGGAAAATTTGTATTGTTAGGCTAAAAAATAAAGTTTTCGGTATATTTCATCCACGAAATATCATCATCGAAAATTATAGGCGGTACATTTTTGTCCTCTAGTGTTAACTAACGCATCCGGGCACATAAATCGATATAATTGGTATCAATTTAAAGGTTAATATCCTTCAGGATTAAATATATACACCATAGAATACACATTTTTTAGTTTTTCATATAAAAGTCTTCAACAAACAGTCATGATTATTCCCTAGTCAGACCCCTTTTTCTGTGTAAAATTGCGTGGTGCTCGGGTAATAATTATGAAATAGGCAGAAAAACTAATAATAATAAAATTTTTGGTGCAATTTATCCCCTTAAAATCTATATGATCACTAGCAAAAACAATAGGGGTCTTATTCGGTGAGAAACCAATCTACATGCAAAATTTCGATTGGTCCATAACTGTGGCCGTGTTTACAAATTATAATGGACAGACCGACGGACGGATACACATGTCTAGATCGACTCGGTTAGTCGAGATATGACGATCGGTATACTAAAAGGTGGCCCTGGGACCAATATTTCGCGGCGTTACAAACTCTTGGGGCTGCACCAACCCATAATACCCTTACATCATATTTGTGTTGGGTATAAAAATGGAAATTCGATCAAGTCGAATTCGAATTTCCATTACTATTTACTGTCACTGGCTATGGAATCACCACACATACATTCATAACTGAATACCGTTTGGACAAACTACGGGATTTAGCCATGCTGCAGGGATTTCTATTCATCGGTTGCCTGGAGATGTCATCCACCAAAATATCCTTGGTATTGAGAATATTCAAATTGAATGCCTTGCACGATTTCGAGCCATACGCGTAACAGCGTACCGCCTCGGAGCTCCCATATTTACAATGAATCCTGATTTTCATACCACTTTTTTGTCAAAAATTGAATACAAGTTTTTCATGAAAATATACCAAAATGAGCCTTGGAAAGAAATTCTTACAAAACACAACACAATATTTTTCTTTTTTTTTAATTTTCAAATTTCAATTCCTACTAAGATGAAAAAATATCAACGACTATAATTTTGCCTGATTACAACACATACTAATATATTTGTTTATTTTTTTATGTTAATATAAAGAGACAAATTAAAATCTTTAAAAAATCTAATTAAAGCTATTATATGCCCACAAATTCATTAAAGCAAACAGGTTGCTGGTTCCGGTCAGTCTCTTCCAAGGCCACAACGTAGCAATGAAAACCTCTTAATCATGACCATTAACTAACCAAATACGAACAACAAATTAATTAAATAAATAAGTCTCTAAAGTAATATAAAAGAAAATACATAGCAAGCTAGGCTAACATCCCAATCATTTTCCCCACTCGAATCCAAAAAAGTAATTTGTCTTTCCTATTTTAGCAAGGAAATTCCCTAAGCTATCATTTAAAACATTTTCATTTAATATTAAGCATTTTGTTTTTGTTGTTGCTGCTACTGTTGTACGACAAAAGGTAGCAGGGATAAATTAAATTCTGGGTGGAGGTTGTTTGAAGCCAATAAAACACCATCTAGTGGAACTAACAAAACGCCTCCCAATGGTTATGGTACTTGACATGATTTCGCCCCCCACCAACTGCCTTTGTATCATATATTCTGTTTGTACGATACCTATTTGTGTGTTGGCCAACAGCCATTAAGAGTCCTTAATGAACAGGGGGTGGTGAATGGTAACGATGGTGGTTGTTTGTCATCATTAAGGACCACAATGAAAATCGTTTACGATGAGTGAGCCATTAATGTCACCCTATAACTAAATAAGGCGCTAATGCTGCTGCTACACGCATATTTCTTTTAACAGCATCTGTCTACCAAGGGGGAATCATTTTACAAATTTAAAACGAAATTTAATTTTGTAACACAAAATATTCGTTCGTAGGTAATTTACTAATTGGACGCCAATATCATTTTAAAAGGGATGACAAAAATGCCAATGCAACAATAGAAAACTGTTGATGTATTTGCCTTTTAAATTTTTAAACTCCGTTGTTATTTTAAAATAGCCTGGCTTTATATCAGGTTTATAGATCCAAAAGTATATGGTTCCCCAGTTCCAACAAAAAAACTTAGGATTTATATATCCTTATAAAAATCTCTATTTGTTTTGTGCGCCATAATTGCAATCTTTCCTCCTTCATATGGTTTAACATAATTTTTTTAAATTAAAACCCAGATTTTATAATTTTTCTTCTAATCTAAAATTCTCCAAAAAAATCGAATTCATGCTTCTCCCCGATAGCCTAGGTAATTTGTTTTTTCTTTCTGTCTAACAAACTGTTAAATTGTTGACAGATTTTGCAAATCTGCTATTTATCATAATCAAAATCCCCCCGCAAAAAAATATTGTCTCATATGGCTTGAACGAAATATATTGTGATGATACAGTTAATCCTCCTTCGAGTCATTCAATAAAATTTGACACGTATTGAATTCAATTCAATTTGCAGGGTGTTTTATTTTTTGCTTACATTGGCATTTTATGGCATTTATATGAAGGTAATATTTAGCCGAATAAATAGGGTGATTTAAAGGACAACTGCTACCACTGCCGAGCGTAATATGAATTATGGACAATAAAACAGAAACGCACACACAAATGTTATTGAATAGAAAAAGAACTGGCTGCGAAAGGAAAATGATGTGCTAACAAATAGACAAAAAATTGTCACTTGGGATTTTCTGTGGGTATTAGGTAATGTCAATGCTCTCTTTTTTCCAGGGGAGATAAACAAATGAAAAGAAAGCAATAAAAAGACAAATTGCAGTTACTTTGGTATGGTTGGCAAAATTCACAATGAAAAGGTGTTGATACCCCTCAAAATATTCGTCGAAGTTGTTACATATTTTCAATCAGCGTTTGTCCGTTTAGTTCTGTGACATTTTGAGAATCCGCATTTATGTTTCGCAATGGATATCAGAGTTCCTTGCTGATGTGTTTAGGGATTTACGACTACCAAAATCAATTTGTGACTTATCACGAAAAGAGTATAGCAATCATGGTGTCAAGAGACGTTTAGAAGGTCCTCACAGGTGTCCAAATATATAGAAAGTTTTATTTGGTTGCTTGTGCAGAGAAAAAAAATGTACTTCGTTTTGAATATAAGTAAAAATTCTTATGATCATGAGAAAGACACACTTTTTTCCAAATAATGTAAACATTTCATTTAAATCGCAACTATTTTCCTATTTCGCGATCTTTTTTTCTCTCTTTCTCTCTCTTTCTTGGTAAAAATAAATGTATTTCTCCCAAGAAAAAAGCCACCACCACAAACCACCATACATTGTTCAGATGTGTTTTGGTATCGCTCTCCGCCTCGCTCCTTACTTGATGGTTGTTGTTTTTGCAACCTTTTATTTGACTACTGTTTCTGTTGCTAATAATAGCCGATTTTCCACTTACTCGATTGTGACTAGTTTTGCATTCCATTGTTTCTTTATTTCAAACACTCGACCTCTGCTTTGGTTTAACAAAATTCGCATATGTTTTTTCCAAATTATTTTGATATAAATACTAAACACAATATATCAAACAAGCCAAACCGAATGTTTAACATTGTATATGATTTGTTCTAATAGTGATCATTTTTTAATTAATTTATTATTACAAAAATTGTGTCGATTTTTTAATAATTAATTTTAAAATATTTAATTTCAGTGTCCGCCAATTTATCACAATCCCATCAACATCATCAGTCAAATGATAAGGATGGCAAAAAGAAACACACCCGCCCAACATTTAGTGGTCAACAAATTTTTGCACTGGAAAAGACATTCGAACAAACCAAATATCTGGCAGGACCAGAAAGAGCTAAACTAGCATACGCCTTAGGAATGACTGAATCACAAGTTAAGGTGAGTTGAAAAAATAATTATTATTTTTAGAAAATTGGTTAGAAACGAAAAAGGGATATTTAAAAAAACAAATATAGTTGTGAGATTACAACAAAAAATGCTCTGAAAAAGACTGTTCTTTAATAATACCAAATGTAGAAGATTGAAAGATTATAATTTACTTCCCAGACGACAAATGACATCAAATTATCATTTCTGACATAGATATCTAATTATCACTTTCCCACATTGTATATATCGATCATCCAAAATTAATAAATTTTAATATAAGTCGTTTATTTTGAAATATTGTAAGTGGTATTAATTTTGGTTTGTGGCTTTGTGCCTTTAAACATTATAGGATATATAACGTAATATATTTTGTTAACTTTTCTAGAAAACCAAAATTTTTATCAGAACCTAAAATGGACTTTAACCACTTTTAAAATAAACAACTTATATGGGATATACATTATACCATGCTGTCTCAATATGATTTTGTATTCTCCATGTAAAGACTAGTATTTTATTCCACCCAATTTCCTTTCGCTTCAATTCGTTTCCCTATCCTGTAAACCTCGATCTGCCATTGCCATCCTTCCTAGTCATCATAAACATTAACTTCATTCGTGTCATTCGCCCATAATCAGGCACGTGCTTTTGTGGTATTAAATAAATCCCATGTTGGCGTTTGTTTTTATTCAACAACAATGGCTCAGAGGCTCAGGTGCGATGATGAGGATTTGTTCAAATAGCAGGGAGATTTGTTGCCGTTGTAATGATGATGCTCCCCAAGTGGTGTGTGTTTGTGTCTGTGTAAATGTAAATCACGATTTCAACAAGGATTTTGTGTGTTTGTGAATATAAATTAAATGTGAAGAAAAAAGCCACAAATACAGTGATCGGCCTATTTTTGTTATAATAAATGGTGTATTGTTAAAATATTTATCGATTTTTTTAATGACAGAACCTTTTATGAATTACCATAATGAATTCAAATGATGTAGTGCGATTTCCGCGAAATTCGAAAACAATGTGGCAATGTGAGCTCTCAAAAATCGGATCAAACTAACACCAATTTAATCATCCAAAACGTGAAATGTAGGGGTCATCTGCCGTACAACCGGGACCTGGCACCCAATGAATACTTTTTATTTCCACAAAATTAGAACAAATTGCGTGATCAAGAGATTTTCTTTACCAGAAAATGCTGTTCAAGCATTCAAATCCATATTTTGGAAGTTTGTCAAATGGAGTTGAAAAAAGCCTTTAAAAATCTGAATCATAATTTGAAAAAATTTAAAATTAAAACATTTTAAGCATAAATATTCACATTCTCATTATAATCATATTCAGTTGATGTTATAAAAATTGTGTCCACTTAATTCGAAAGTAAAATCTGACATTCTATGATTAACATTTTCCAATTACAACATACATCCATGTGTTACTATGTAGACAGAAAACAATGTGTTGAGATTTCCAGATTATAACAAATTTCATTTGAAATAAAATTTTATAGTTGGGGCCGAGTTCTTTACAGCCTAAGGGGTAGTATATTTGTTTGGCATTGCCGGCGATGGATGGAGTTGTTGCATCAAATTGAATCAAAATGTCAGTCGTTGCAGCTCATAGAAATGTTGCTTGTTTTTTGTCTGTCTGAATGTGGACTACAACGAATATAATGTGCTTAGAATATTTTATGGCATTCAGTAATGGAAGATGATAGCAATTTTTTGGTAATTTATCACAACATGTTTTATAAAGTGTATAGATATGTTAAAATGAGTGTTAAAATATTGAATACGATTATGAATCAGTTGTAGTTGTAGTAGTTTTATTTCTTCTCGTTTGGTTCAATGCAGGGCTGTCCACACTAATACATGCAAATGTTTCTTATTGTATTTGTTTCAAATACACAATTTTCAAATTTATGTCTCTCTCTTGTTAAACTGTGAGAAAAATTGTAAAAACTTGTATTTCAAATTTTAAGACAGAAGAACATTTTGTATTCAATGCAAATATGCTTGTTAATGATATATTTTCCTATATAAATATAGATTTGCTTCTTTTTCGCCAATCCCCATTGTATTGGTCACATATTTCGACTTTTTCTGAACTAATTTTTGCCAAAAATGTCCTAATTTTTTCGTTCAGTGTATGAAAACAAAAAGGAATGAATGACAAATTTGAAAATATTTTTCATTTTCAAATGTTTTTATTTTTATCATTGTGTGTGAGAGAGTTTTGACACACACCGACAGCCCATGGGACCTATTTTGGGCACACCTGGTTCAATGTTTTCTTCTTCATTATGTTTTGCCTCTTTTCTCCTTATTTACTTACATGTGTTAATATTCTGCTTTATCAGAAAAAATCATATACAATGTTAAACATTCCGTTGAGGTTGGTGTTCGTATCAACACTTTGATATATTGTATTTAGCATTTATATCGAAAGAAAATGGAAAATGCATATGCGAATTTTCTGACGCCAATGTGGAGGTAAGAGTGTCTGAAATAAAGAAACAATGGAATTTCAAACTAGTCACAATCGAGTGAGTGAAAAGTCGCCGGTTGATAGCGACAAAAACAGTATTCACATAAACGGTTGCAAAAGTAACATTCACAATCAGGGTAGGCGGAGAGCGATACCAAAACAATGTCCAACAATGAGTGGTGTTGTTGTTTTTTGTTTTCTATCGAGACATACATCTATTTTTGTCAGAAATTGACAGAGAAAGATAGATATAAGCAAATAGTGGTAAAGTAGACGAAAGTAGGAAAATAATTTTGATATTAACGAAAAGTTTACATATTTGAAAAAAATAATGGATTTCTTAAGAATAGGAATTTTTATTGTACATTTTATATTAATAAATGCTTTAATGTAGTTCACTTTTTAAAAAAGAAATATATCTTAATCTGTTTGTGAATAAGGAGGTAATGAGAGAGTGATTTGGATGATAGGGAAGCTTTGGAAAGCATATTAAAGCAGGTGACTTGTGATAGTGTTATGTTTGTGTTGTTTTGAAAATTTGATGGGCTAGAATAGTGGACGGGTTTAGGACCATAGACCTGAAACCGCTAGCTAAACTTCAAATGAAATTATGAAAAATTTCATTGAAATTTTTTCCTATGTATATATTTGTACACATAACTCATATACATTTCTAGCTATTTAAGCATGTAAATACCCCAACAAATAATAATAAAAACTTCACACAAAATTTAACAATTTAAATTTTTTCATGTCGTAAGATTCGTTTTTTCTTCTAAAGTTATTTTTCCAATATTTTATTTATGAGAACTCCAACTTCATTGTACTCGTTACGGGAAACCCCAAAGGTGCTAGGATGCCACCAATAAAAACAAGAAACCCACCAACTAACAAACAACAACATATGTTTGTACTCGTATGTCATTAAATGGCTATAAGTTTCTCATGGCGTTTAATGACCGACGGACCGACCCATCATATATTTCATTGATATCCCATTGCGCTTTTGCGTGGTTAGTTTGTGTGTGGCATTATTGGTGTGGCAATAAAAAGAAACTGTTTAAAAGAACATTTTTTTCTGAAATGGAAATAAGTCAGCATTCAGAAAAGTTCGACTGCTTTAAATTTTAGTGATGTATTGTTGATTGTACATTGACATGTTAATGTCATAAATTTGTCATACATAATATATTGTTTAAATTTTGGGTTTTGTTGTTATATTTTTATAGCTTACTTCGCAACGAATCAGGTTGTAAATTTATTCGGAAGGGCATACAAAATTTTATTTTAAATTTCGAATAAGCCTTTTATTGAGTTCTTAATCTTAAACATAATTTTTAACATTTTATTGTAAAGGGAATTTGAAGGCGTCTTATAAATAGAATAGGGTTTCTTCAAAGACGTTGCGTTTCTTCACAAATTTGTAGTTTCAAAATTGGTTTTTATACCTCATTTCAATTTTCAAGGGAAAATATAATTTTAAAAAAAATATCAATATCTGGGACTATACAAATATATAACCTCTTCGGCAACTTTATTTATCATTTTAGATATTGGATTAAAATAAATGACATAAATATTAAATTGATATACGACTGTGTTATTATGGCTACATAATTGACGGACTTAAAAGATGTGTTTATATATAAATTTAAATATTTTAATATATTTATTTATTTATTTTATGATATTTATTTAAATATTTAAATTGCCTTTAAATGTATTACGAAAATCTATGTTCGCATTGTCCTCCTTATTCCACAATTCACTTGATACTTTGTCTTACATACCATCCACTTGTAGTTCCTATTATTTCCCTGTCTCCGAACATAAAACAAGAACACAAGAAGTCCCCACCCCATTATTCTGGCATCATTAAGAAGAATTTTCATGGTCATTATTTTTGTGGCAACAGCTGTGACTTACTAATTTGCCTCCAATGGCTATGTCTGTGTTTTGTTCCTTCCACATTATTTTGTGTGGAAGAGGAGAACAAACATTCCAACGATGTAAGAATGATAATGTCCTGAAGATACTTTAGGACAACATGATGCGTTTACCAATGGTTAGCACCCTGTTAGGGCCAATGTAAATGTCCGGTCTTTATGTGTATGTAACCGTATGTTTTTTAATTGTCTTTAAATTATGCTTTTCTGTCGTTAGTTGTACGGACACCTTTCTTACAAAATATTAAATTATTAAATTTGCCATTTCGTTAGCAACATCTCAAAATATTCATTGGAGATCCCAAAAACATTTTATTATTAATGTTTATGTTCTGCGTTATTAGAACAACAATTCGGTTTGATATATTGTATTCAGCATTTATATCGAAATAATTTGGAAAATGCATATGCGAATTTTGTGACACCAATGCAGAAGTCGGTGCAAGTGTCTGAAACATTGGATTGCAAAACTAGTCACAATTGAGTGAATGGAATGTCGCGGTTCTTGTTGTTGTCCCTGTTTTGTTATGCTTCGGCATACCCAATCCAATCTCGGTATTTTAAAAATTCATCCGAAATGAAAATAGTTAGACTGATAGGGGTTTCAGAGAATAAAATAACACATATATATTTTCATAATCCCCTAAATATTAACCGTGATATTTTCAAAATTTCTTTCCACAAAATTTCACCTTAGAGATATAACATAAAAAATATTCTCCATAAAATTTCACTATAAGTATCCAAACAACAGAAATCACTATATCGAACATATATCGGTGAACAACATACCCTACACAACTATGTCGTCAGGGTATTATAGCTGTGTGCAGCCCCAGGAGTTTGTAACGCCGCGAAATATTGGTCCTAGACCCACTCTTAAGTATACCGATCGTCATATCTCGACTAGCTGAGTTGTTCTAGACATGTATGTCCGTCCGTCCCTCCGTCCATTATATTTTGTAAACACGATACAGACCACAGGTATGGACCAATTTTCACGAAATTTTGAAAGTAGCATGGGTTTGGTAAAGATCGGTTAATATTTAGGGGATGAAATGGACCAAATGCTTAATTTTTGCGGTTTTTCTGGTCGCTCCAGAGGCCGCAATTATAGCCCAAACATCTCGAATTTTTACACGGAGAAAGGGATTGGACCAAAAAATAAACATGCCTATTTTGATAAAGATCGGTCAATATTTAGCGGGTCAAATGGACCCTGACTTTTGTGTGAAATTAATTTCTATAGTGGCCATTTTAAGAGTTGTTTCTATCAAGGACTAATTTCTACCACAGGTCTTTACTTTGGCAGAAAGGTGTATTGAGAAAAAAGATTTCCATCAACTTCCATAGGGAATCTCCGATCAAAAGACATCGATAGCTCCATAAAATGTCAAGAAGATATCACTTGAAAATCGGATATATATTCAAAATGTTGTTCTTCGTAACTTCGTAACCCCTTGGTCATATAAAATCGGCGGGACTCATACTTATTATTCGTCATATTTATTTACTTTAAAATTAGCCAAACAAAATATAAAGCTTTAATATTCTGTAAAACTTAACTTGTCCCAAAACAATGTGCTTTACATGTATATAAGAATATGTGTTGGAAATTGTTGTTGTTAGTCCAACAAGAACATTTGTTTGGGTTTTGTTAGGCAAGGAGGCAACACATGTGTAACAAAAAACACAACAGCAAGGATTCACATAAAGCTAATTCCCCAAAAAAAAAAAAAATATGGAATGAGAAAATGGAAACAAAAAATTGTATCTGAAAAAAAAATTAGTCATGGTTTGTATAGACCCAAAAACGTCAGTTGGTGGCCCTGGACACAGATTGTGGTTTTTGGGTTGTTTTATTTTCTCTTAATTGAGGGTTAACCGGCGTTGATGATGTTTATGGAAACTCAAGGCATGTGTTTATGATTGTGTCCGTGTGTGTGTGTGAAAAATCAGAATCTGTGTCATATATTGATCCAAGTATAAATAAAATTTTTGAAAACTTAATGACTTTTTACACATATTGCCAAAAGGAACTAAAGGCCAAGGGAGAAAAATTTTAAAATATTATTTTCCCCTAAAATTCGTTGTGATAATATCCCTTTTTCCGCTAATTACTTCACTCACACACACTACTACAAAAACCCCAAAAAATATAAATATAATTAAATTAATTTTTGTGTCTGTTTTTCTTGTGTATATTTTTAGGTTTGGTTTCAAAATCGTCGCACCAAATGGCGTAAACGTCATGCTGCTGAAATGGCCACGGCCAAGCGTAAACAGGACGATATTGGTGGCGACAATGGTGACGATTGCAGCGAACCCATGGACAGTGATAATGAAAGTTTAGACATCGATGAAAATCCGGCTCAGAGGAAACGAAATCGCATGGAAGACAATTATCGCCATTAGTTGTGCCCTGTTAGCAGCCAAAGGGGATGGAATTAAAGCTATTAAAATATTTTAGTAATTAAAACACACATAAAATTTAAAACAAAAAATGAAACGAATTTAATTTGAAAATATTCTTATATATTAAAATAATGAAAAATTTCAACTATATACATTATATATTAATTTAAGTCCAATACAAATGATATTATAGAGACTATTTTCACCAATAAGTAATTATCTAAGTTTTAGTTTTATACATTTTGTTTTAAAGTTTAGTTTTATTTTATTATTTTCCAATAAACAGCAACATAAAATGTTAAATAAATATTATATAAAAAAATATGCAAATACTATTTTGTTTAAATACTTTAAAAGTCTTTAGAAGACATTTATTATGTTAAAAAAATTAAAAAACACTTTATATTTTATTGAAATAATTGTAAATAATTTTTTGTTTCTGCTAGAAAAAAAAATAATTAAGAAATATAAAAATTATAGCCACCAGGTATCTGGAACACATCATGTATTTTATTCATGGATTGAAACCAATATCTTTTTTGAAATAAATTTCAATTTTACGTTCCATTTAAAAAAAATATTTTTATAAATCAAAACTCCTTTTTAATTTTGAGGTTTAAATCTGAAAATCTTGAAATAGTATTCCAGATTGGGTTTCTCTAAATTTGTATATAAATAACAATTAACTATAATGATTAACAACAACAAAAAAAGGACTTTTACTATTCATATAAAAAACAAAAGATTAATAAATAAACATAGCAACTATTATAAAGTATTAGCTTAAAATTAAAAACATATGTAAATTATAAAACAAAAAATAATTATTTTGATTTGTTCATTCTCTCCCATGCAAAACATTCCATTTGATACTATAATAATGCTTATTTTTAACTACTTTTTGTTGCCTATATAAGAATTAAACGAATTTCTGTACTTATAAATGAATTAGATCATAAGTTCTTTTAATTTACAAAACTTTCATTTCATTGTCACATATTTGTAAATTTTAATAGTTTTAATAATTGATAATAGCTTATCATAAATTCCTATATAAGAGTAAATGCAAATAATTTAATATTAAAAACAATTGTCATTGTGTTAGATGACAGTGTCAACATACAAGTGAAAAAGATTCAAAATAAATCTATTCAAAAATTAAATAAACAAAATGTGTTTTGAGTTTTTTTAAGTTTTATGCCAGAGAGAAATGGATTCCATCCAAAAGTCAGACGGGATGGTTGTCAAAGCAACCTATAGTACTATGTACACCTATTTTAAGCAATCTTAAGAAATGTTCCTGTCGATCGGAGAGGAACATTCTGCAAAATGTGCAATATTTCATATCAATCGAACAGACCTAGAGTCATTTATATGAAATCTGACAAAATAATGTATTATAGATATATGTAAATCTAGACCGATTTGAGAAAAGATTTCTAGATTTCATATAATTTGGATAAATATTGGTTATTTAGAGCAAAAGTTGCAAGTAATCGAACGAAAATATATAGAAATGTTCAGGGACGCACACCGTATTAAAACTAAAGAAAATATATATTGAGATAAAATTCATTTGTTTTATAAAACAATAATATATATATGGGCAATATTGCCAATTTTTTAATATTCCATTTTCAAAAAATCAGCGTTTTTGTTTTTGTGGGACATCAATTATTTTTGGTACACATATAGAGAAAAATTTTCTGACTCCGAAACCGTTCGCGATCAAATTTTTGGTTGATGCGCGCAAAAGTTATCGAGGTTTTAATTTTGGGTATAAGAAAAAAATCTTAAAATTACGCCGTTTATTATATTGACCAAAAACGTTGATATATATCTTCCTCCGTAAAATAAGAATATGAATATATTATAATAATCACGATAAAGTTGCACATATTCGCGAAATATGAGAAAAATAAAAAAGATTTAGCAGATTACATCAATATTTTCCTTATATTAATGACATAGACACACCTAAAAATTAATTTAAAAATATCTACATAATCTAAACACCATGGTGAATCAAATGATATCAAAATCACACAAGTCCGTGTAGCGGTTTCTAAATCAAAGCGACAACAAAACAAGATATTGAGGAAAAATATATGTTTTTGGTTCGAAAAAAATAATGTCATTATATTTATTTTTTTAATTGTATACAAGAAATTTCAGAAAAAATGTTGGTGTTATTTTGCTATTTTACCCGAATTTCGCCGAAAAATTGACATATATAATAATAATCACTTTTTGTGTATAAGTATACGCCTTCCGGATTATATCAAGACCCTTCCGATAAATCTTAGAATTATATAAATAGGAATAAATCTTAAAACAAAATAATATTATGAAATATACAATTTAAATTGCGTGTAAATCGCGCATGGATGTGCCAGCACAAACTATTTTTGAGATAAATTGCGTACATCTCTCTTTCGGCTGAAGTTTTTAAAGTTCTCTTTTCGAAAAAGATCAAAATCCGTATGAGGTCATTTATTGAAGCGGAAATGATACACAGAAAACGCAAATAAATCCGCGATATTTTCAAAAACATTTTTTGCCAAATTTCGTGTTTTTGGAAGGCCAGTTCCCGCCGTTCTAGTAGATGGATTTTCACGAAGAAGATTTTATATCATCCGAAACGTAAAAAACTTTATTGATCGCGGGTACCCATATCATTCAGTTGACAGATCTAAAAATTTGGACGGAAAAATAGGTTTTTTAGAAATTTGATCGCACAAAATTCGCACCTTCGGATGAGTATTACTCTGAAGCTGTGCATACTACATACACAAAATACATATCAAATTACGCAGATTCGCGACTACATTAATCTTATAATCGATTTTTAGAAATTCATGTTTGCGTATTAAAGCTAGAAGTAAAATAAAAAAACACTCAAAATCGAGCTTCAAAATGTCAGCATCATTTAAAGGTAGATGCAGTTAAAATTTTGAAAAATGATACATAAGGGGCGTAGTCCCCATTTTGTTGGCTTTTAGTTTTACTTTGACACGAAGACCGTGAAATTAGTGGCTTAGTCACAAATCGATAGAGAACATAAAAAAACTGGTTCGCCTCAACCTGTTTTTCACATTTTTTTACATTCAAGTAGACACAGCTTCCACCAAAATAAAGTTTGGAGGTCAATATCATGAACAGTTTGCAACGACAGATCAATTAACCCAAAACTATTCACTTTTTTTCATATACTTAAGTAGTTCCCGAGTTATAAAGGGGTGAACCTCCGCTTCAGCTATGTTAAAAAATTGGCAATATTGCCCATATAATAATTGATCTGTCGTTGCAAACTGTTCATGATATTGACCTCCAAACTTTATTTTGGTGGAAGCTGTGTCTACTTTAATGTAAAAAAGTGTGTAAAAACACGTTGAGGCGAACCAGTTTTTTATGTTCTCTATCGATTTGTGACTACGCCAGTCATTGCACGGTCTTCGTGTCAAAATAAAACTAGAAGCCAACAAAATGGGGACTACGCCCCTTATGTATCATTTTTCAAAATTTTCACTGCATCTACCTTTAAATGATGCTGACATTTTGAAGCTCGATTTTGAGTGTTTTTTTAATTTTACTTCTAGCTTTAATACGCAAACAGGAAGTTATAAAAATCGATTATAAGATTATTGTAGTCGCGAATCTGCGTAATTTGATATGTATTTTGTGTATGTAGTATGCACAGCTTCAGAGTAATACTCATCCGAAGGTGCGAATTTTGTGCGATCAAATTTCTAAAAAACCTATTTTTCCGTCCAAATTTTTAGATCTGTCAACTGAATGATATGGGTACCCGCGATCAATAAAGTTTTTTACGTTTCGGATGATATAAAATCTTCTTCGTGAAAATCCATCTACTAGAACGGCTGGAAACTGGCCTTCCAAAAACACGAAATTTGGCAAAAAATGTTTTTGAAAATAACGCGGATTTATTTGCGTTTTCTGTGTTTCATTTCCGCTTCAATAAATGACCTCATGCGGATTTTGATTTTTCTCGAAAAGAGAACTTTAAAAACTTCAGCCGAAAGAGAGATGTACGCAATTTATCTCAAAAATAGATTTTGCTGGCACATCCATGGTTCTTAATGGACCACATTGAAATCGGTATAGATCGATGTATTTTTTTAGGGTGCACACCGAAATCGGATGCGCGTTAATGGCATATGGTGTTTTCGGAAATTATTCGCGTTTTAAGATTTTTTGGGTACTTCGATGTAACGTGCGGCACATCTTAGCCGTCAAATGAAATTTCGCAAAATATATATGGATTGGAAGATAAACTTCAGTACTTCCTCAAAACCGCATGCGCATCAAATGATTTTGAGAATTACGCGATTTAGACGCAATTTATCTCAAAAATAGTGTGAGCTGGCACATCCATGGTTCTTAATGGACCACACTGAAATCGGTATAGATCGATATATTTTTTTAGGGTGCACACCGAAATCGGATGCGCGTTAATGACATATGGAGTTTTCGGAAATTATTCGCGTTTTACGATTTTTTGGGTACTTCAATGTAACGTGTGGCACATCTTAGCCGTCAAATGAAATTTCGCAAAATATATATGGATTGGAAGATAAACTTCAGTACTTCCTGGAAACCGCATGCGCATCAAATGATTTTGAGAATTACGCGATTTACACGCAATTTAAAATGTATATTTCATAATATTTTTTTTATTTTAAGATTTATTCCTATTTATAGAATTCTAAGATTTATCGGAAGGGTCTTGATATAATCCGCAAGGCGTATACTTATACACAAAAAGTGATTATTATTATATATGTCAATTTTTCGGCGAAATTCGGGTAAAATAGCAGAATAACCCCAACATTTTTTTCTGAAATTTCTTGTATACAATTAAAAAATAAATATGATGACATTATTTTTTCGAACCAAAAACAAATATTTTTCCTCAATATCTTGTTTTGTTGTCGCTGTGATTTAGAAACCGCTGCATGGACTTGTGTGATTTTGATATCATTTGATT